CCATGTTCAGGGGGTGGGGAAGCATGTAGTCACCATAAGTGCAACCAGGAGGAAAAGAGAGACATGCTTGGTATATTCATCAAGACAGGGAGTTGGGCTGGCAGGAGAACCCAGGAGGTGTTGGTTAGTCTAGATGCACACTGTTATTGGTTTCTTCTGTGTGATTTTCTTGCAGTCAGGTATCCAACATTGAATGGACTCTAAAATCCTAGTATCTGTGAAATCCCAACATGGGAAGCTTTCAACCACTATGAAGATAGGACCAAAGCCATCCTACCAGTGACACCCTTGCCTCATGGGTGGTTGTGCTCCCCTGGCTCACAATCACCACCTCCTCCTCACAGTGCTTGTTTCTGCCCACAGACCAACCCAGCTGGCCCCATGGCAGGTGAGAACCAGACTCATACAATGGAATTCGTGCTCCTGGGCTTTTCCCATGGCCAGCCCTTCCTCTTTGTTCTTTTCCTGGCCATTTACCTTGCCACACTGCTGGGGAACTCTGCAATACTCGCCCTCGTGTCCCTGGATCCCCATCTCCACAGCCCCATGTACTTCTTCCTCAGTCACCTGTCCTGCCTGGACATTTGCTATTCATCAGTGACGGTGCCCAAGATCCTGGCAAACGCCCTGCGCCCGCAGGCGACCATCTCCTACCACGGGTGCCTGGCACAGATGTTCTTCCTGATGGGGTGCGCGGGGGCTGAGTGCGCACTCCTGGCTGTCATGGCCTACGACCGCTACGCAGCCATATGCCAGCCCCTGCGCTACACCCATGCCATGAGCCGGGGTGTCTGTGTGGTGGCAGCCGCCAGCTGCTGGCTCTGGGGGATGCTGGACTCAGCCGTGCACACCCTCCTGGCCTCCAGGCTCTCCTTCTGCGGGGCTGCCCAGCTCCAGCATATCTTCTGTGATGTCCCCCCACTGCTGCGGGCGGCGTGCAGCAACACCCGCCCCAGCGAAGTGGCACTCCACGCTGCCAGTGTCTTTGTGGGCCTCAGCCCCTTCATGCTTGTCGTCGTCTCCTACCTCCGCATCCTGGCCACTGTCCTCGGGATGCCCGTGGCCACCGGCCGGCACAAGGCCTTCTCCACATGCTCTGCCCACCTGCTCGTGGTCGCCCTGTACTTTGTGACGGCCAACCTGAACTACAACCGGCCCAGCTCCGGCTACTCCCCGGCAGCCGACACACTGGTGTCCGCACTGTACTGCATCGTCACCCCCATGCTGAACCCCCTCATCTACAGCCTCCGCAACCAGGAGGTGCGGGGTGCCCTGCGGAAGGCTGTGCGGGGACGGGGCACGCTGGGCTCCCCGGGTAGCAATGCATGAGCAATACCAGGGCTGCAACAGAGTGCTGGTGTGGCACTGGTGCAGCATTGCCCATCTGTGGGCAATCTTTGATGGCAGTATTGGGCTCAGGGCTCCCTGCCCAGGCAGTGGCTGCTTGAGGCACGCTGCCATCACTTGTCTGACCCTCAGCACATCACTGATGGCTGAATGGCAAAATCAAGTTGGGAACAAGCCTACAGTTCCAGGATTATGTCTTTATTTTGCAAGTGTCATGTGCTGAACTCAGCACAGGACCAGTTGCAGCTACGCTGTTACCAGGGAATGCTGTAAAGGCAATTTCACGCGGCACCAGAGCAAGGCCGTGAGCTCTGCCTTGGAGCTGGCAGAGGTGCTAAGCCAGGCCCCGCACGGGACAAGGGGCAGTGTCTCGGATTGCAAAATCTGGCCTCCGCAAAGGGGCTGTCACACGATCCTCCTTCCGCATACGCTGTGGCACTGAGTCTGATGTCTGCTGGGTTTCTCCATGAAAGCTCTGTAGCATTTTGTACGTTAGGACAGCAGCCAGCAGTTTAAACAGGCCACCCGTTATTCTCAGTGCTTTGGTCAAACAGCAAATTATCAGCACTGAGCTGTGAGCTTGCATTGCTTAAATCCTCACCAGAAATGCTTGCTTTGCTTGATACCCATAAAAAAATCAAAGCGCAGTTGTTGTGAGTGGTGCGTCTGTGGATGATAGTGGCTGAGGGCTGGCTGGTGAGGTGGGGCAGCCACCTTCATCCAGCTGCCACTGCCCCAGCTTAACCTCTTCTTGCAGGGGCTCTGCAACGGAGTCCAAGCTGAAATGATTGCATGGGCGTTGGGGCAATCCCACTGCTGCTCAAATCTGCAGGGCCGGCAGTATCCAACACCACGGCAGAAGCCAGGAGCAGCCAGCCACCAGTGCAAGTGTCTGCGTGGGGAGGGAAGCTGGCACAGGCTGCGCGTGCAGGCGCATGCCTGCAGCCACAGCAGCGTTTCTGCAGCTGTGCCACAGAGGGGCACGTTGGCTGGAAGGGGCCAAAACGTACTCATCCATAGCTCAGTTACCAAGAGATATCCAGCAAAATCCAGTCTGTTCCCAAAGAAACCTACTGGAGAGTCAAAAAATGGGCCTATGAGGCATAGAGCTTGTTGGGAGCATGTTTGCCAGTTCTTCTTAGTGCACAACACACACTGACTTTATTCTTCAGGGAAAAAAATGTTTCTGTAACCCATGTGTTGGGATGGCCTGTTCCTCCCACCCAAACAGGTTGCAAGCCTCTCAGCTAGCTCTGCTTGCTATACACCCTTCTTGATTGTAAAAAATTATTGAAACACCCCTAGTTCAGAGTCTCACTAGGACACGTAAGAGAGTCTGCCACAATGTGGCCCATTCTGGAGAGCCCCCTGGAAAATAACATCAGGAAATAAAGGGTGAACTGCATGAGGAAAAAATATTGGGAAAGTTATTTCAGAGAAAACAAAAAACCAAAAAGAACTAACCAAACAAAAAACAAACCAAACCAAACCAAACAAAAAACAACCAACCAACCAAAAACCCAAACCAAAAACCTCCAGAAAATTCACATAAAAATTGACAGTTTCTAACCTGAATCACAGTGTGTCTTTCCCATGATTGATAGACACAGGCTGTGATTTTTCTCCGTATGAAACAGGTGGTACAGTCTTGCTCAAGCGCAGGATGGTCCAGAACCAACCTGTGAGCCGCACTGAACTCTAAAGGTGTCACAGTGGGACCCCCCGCGCCCCTGCTGTTGGCAGCTGGCACCGCACCGGGGTGGGCTCCTGCAGCTTCTCACCCGCTGTGCTACCCAGCGTGTCCCTCATTTATTCCTATTGTGATGGTATTTGCATACCACAAAGGAACAACCACCAACTCCTAAAGTGGCATGTTGAGCATCTAGCCTGAAACATACTGGTTCAAGGGAGGGCTTCAGTTTGCATTGGATTATTACTGAAAACTGTTTTAAACATTAAAAATAAGAAATTTCCTCTTGTCCTGCTTCCCACCTGCTCCGCCTTTTCCCCACATCTGTCACTGTGCCAGGAACCAAGCCTACAACAGGCACAGGGGACATGTGCTGTCACAGAATAACCAGGATGCAATTTTAGTCAGGCCAGAACAGAAGCAGTTTATTACTACAGCTACGAGGGAGAGCACAGCGCAGCAGAGTGACAGACACTGCTGATATGAACCCTGCCCAAATGGGGCAGTTACAAAGTTTATATACCTTCAGGTTATGCAACTCATTCTTCACCAAACTGGGTCAGATAAGCAGGATATTGTAAATAACAATAACATTCTTCAGATAACGAGGCTCTAGCCAGCACACCCTGTAACAAATAATCCACTCCTTTGTTAATTTTACTGGTGAGACCATTAACTGCAAATATTTCTTAACTATTGAGTCCTGCAAAGGCCTATGAGGCATGAACTATTTTACTGCCACACTGGGGAGGCCTGGCTTCAGCACAGGGACTCAAACGCCCAGCAGCAGACAGAACAGCTGAGCCAAATACTGGATGGGGGAACCTACTGACTGCAAAGCACACTGGAGCCCTTAGGCTAGAGACAAGCTGTGGGACTGCTCCTCCCGCCCCACCTGCATGTGTATGCTTATTCCCACTGTCAGAGCAGTTAACAGGAAAAATGGAGCGCTCTTAAAAATTTTCTACTGCCTGTATCAAGCAGCACTTATTCTGGTTCATTTGCTAGATTGAAAGGATTTCCCTAGCAGAACATTCCTCTGATGAGCTGCCTGGATGAGGACCAAGACAGTTATTAACATCATCTTTGTTAAATGAAGCCTTTTAGTATTTTTCTCTTGCTCCAAGACAGATTTTCCAGAATAATTTTTCTCAGAAAATAATCTGATTTTCACATTTCTTTCTTCCAGGTTTACCCCAGAAATGAGACATCGCCCAACAGCATTCTTGGCACACAGAGAAAAACCAAGTGAGTAATCTCCTACATTAGCAAGATCATCCTACATTTTCATTGAGCCAGCACACACTTCTCTTGTTTAATAGAACAGCTCACTACAGCCAAGCTTCTGTCTGTGTGCAGGAAAAGTCAGCAGCGTTCACTGTGATGGTCAAATGTTCCCAGGCCCCAGCCCCGAAATCTGCCCAGATAGACCAGGTTCATGCTTCTCTACCCCGTGTTGCAAACACGGTTCATCCTGCAAGTAGAAACCCTTTTTGGGAACAAAGGCAAGTCTGGCCTTCACAGTGGTCTTTTCCTTGATCCCTGCGTAGGATGAGATCCAGGGCCACAGCAACTTAAAAAGGTCCCATAGCTCGTGTCCCTTCTGCCTTGACTGGATTAGAATTGGTGCTTCTTTTCTGTGAATTGCCCTGTTGGGAACGGAATGGACACACTTCTCCTGCAAGCTTGCTGGGTGATGTGTGGGACAGCCTAGGTAGAAAAGACGTCTTATATCGCACTCACATGCTCTTAAACCATCCCACATTTCCCATCTGGAAGTGGGTGAGAACCAAAGTCCTCTTGGGTACAGGCCAAAACATTCCCTCAGACACTGCTAGTTTCCTCCTTGGTATTTCTTGCATGTAGACATGCCAGGCCGAGCCAAATTAAGCTAATAACACATAAAAGGCTGAAGCAGACAGAGGCAAAAGTTTGGAAGGAAGCAGCTTGGACAATGCTGGTTTCACTGCAGAAGCTTCACATAATTTGCTGGAAAGAGGCCTACTTTGCCCCGGCAATGCCCCCGCCACCAGCCTTCATCTACCATCTCGATGTGTGTGATTGTGTCATCAGGATCAAAAGAAATCTCATCATCTCCATCTGCAAAAATTGTTCAGAAAAGATAGTCACAATGCAAAGATAACTCTAGAGAGAGCTGGTTTTACATCCCTTCTCCCACCCCCCCCCAGAAGGAGACTACACAAAAAGCATTCTGATAACCGTCAGAATTCATCTCACCCAAACCCCATCAAACAGCACAGATAGAGCAGAGAAGGAACAAGACTCCACAGATGAAAGATGAAGCTTCTGTGTTCCCAAGGCAGGTCTCATTCTGCTTTCCAAGAGGAAGAAATTTAAACTACCGGGTCGAAATCTTTTCACCACTGCTGATGGTGTAAGCCACCACCTCCCTGTCGCACCGCCCCAGCCAGCTCCCAGTGCCTCTCCCCGCAGCCTGGATGGCAGACCCACCTCCTTGGTAATCGTAGAGAGCCACTGCACAGGTCCCAGGGCTCTCCACCTCATAAACATTGTCCATTTCCCCTGCAGAAGACAGGACGGGCAGATGAGAAAGAGGCTGAAAGCAGCCATACAGATCTGGTCAGTGCCACCCTCCACCCAGCTGTCAGCCTTGGAGTGAACCACATCCAAACCCTATCAACAGGGAGAGGTGTACCATGGCTCAAAGCAAGGTATGACTTCCCTCCCCTTCTGCAAGGAGAGAGACGGGGTCCTCATGCTTCATGTTCCTCTCCCAAGAAAAAGGCTGGACCTAACTCCAGCCTCTCCACTTACTATCTCCAATACCAGCAAAGCTGCGACAGAAACATCAACAGCAGCCCATGCAGTTTGCTTATGTGCTTGGAGGAAGACTACCCTGCACTCCTCACACCCAGGAGCCATCACCAGATCAGGTCTCATGAGCGCCAGCTGTTTGAGCAACAGGCTGAACTGAGAGGGCACCCCCAGGCCTCAGTGCAGCACTGGCAGTCGCTTGCCAGGAAACAGTGCACCAAGAGCATCAGCGCAGGTCCAGCTTCTTTAGAGCCCACAGCAGCCCTCTGGTCCTCCTGCCTGAGTCCTGTTCCAGCAGAGATACTTGCTGCCCGGCCCAGCATCCCATACAGCTGATCTCGCACCTTGGAGCCGTGCAAGGGAGCGGGAGACAACAAAGTCTCCATCATCATGGGCTGCTACCCTGACCACAGTAGACTTCAGGATACAAATTCCCTCTGGGGTCTGTCCCATACATCCAGTGAGGTGAGCAGACAGCTACAAGCTCCCCAAGACGTGGGCTCTTCCATCAGTACTCACCCAGGTGGGGCTGACTCTGGCTGGGCTCCTCAGGAAGAATCTCCTCATAGTCCTCACCTCCATCTCCTCCATGGTCATAGATGGCATCCACCTTTCCCAAGGGTGCTGGCAGCTCCTCATAGTCAGCACCTCCATTGGTACTGTCACAGTAGTCAGAGGGCTCTGGCAGCTCCTCGTAGTCTCCACCGACATCCAAACTTTCACTGTAGATGGGCTGATCCTGGCTGGGGATCTTGCACAGCTCTTCGCCCAGGTCTGCTGGCCTTGGTGGCAAAATGGGTGGTGCTTCCTCATCCTCCCTTTTTGCCTCCTGCCATGAAGTGAGAAAGTGACAGGAAAGTCACCTGCAAAGCATCCACTGCAGGCAGGTCTCCCATGACTGTATAGCACCCAACAGAAGGGAGCCCGCTCCACTGCTGGTGCCTTTAGTGCTACATGACACAAACGGAGCATCATCCTCTGCACAATGGGGAAACAGCTCAGCCATTAGGTCTGTGCTGAACTGGCACCTGGGATTGCTGTGAAGACCCTCACAGCTCATGTATTTGAACCTCTCTCACATGCTTAGCTACAGCTTACTGTACTGCCACTGCACCGACCCACTCCAAGAGCCCATCTCATGGTGCAAGGTGCTGTGCAGCCATGTCCCATCACCATCCCAGTATTTCCCCCCTCACTCCTTCCAAAGCCTCTTCCACGTTGTGGCTGCACCCCACTTCTTCCCGCAGGGCTGCCGTAGAGCACAGCCCCCTCTCAGGTGCAATCCCCTCTGCCTGCTCCCCTTCCTGGCTCTCCCCAGCCCGCCTTGGCACCTCTTCTCCTCGTGTCACAGGCCTGTCTCGGTCAGCACTTCTGGGCACCCTTGCTGGCATGGTGGCAGGGGCTGCCTCTGTGTGGTCCTTCTCTCTCTGTGGGATTT